GCCTTTCTACACAAGAAGCATTGAGTGTCAACTTCATTTGAGAAAACTTGGATTCTATCTTTAATGCACTATCTCATTTTAATGGCTAACCATAGGATGAAGGCCATTCAAGGTATTGACTGGCCAAACCATACCAATTTATGCCAAGAGACCATACTAGTTGCATTCCCCTAGTGTTCCCTACAGATTTGGCTAAGTATTTCCCATCAATGGTAAGGGTCCATCTCACAAAATCATTTCTGGTCTGATCAGGAAGGTAAGTTGGCATGTTGTTGAAAATATTATGCACACTTAGTTGAGTAGATGTTGCTCTATTCCATTGGTTGTTGGCTATAACTTTACTGACTCTTACTTCCCTTGGAATCCTTGCTTGTTGAACTATATTAGAGCTGCTTCTTGGTAACAAAGGTCCATATGGATACCAATTGTCATGCCAAAGGCTTGTGAGCTGCCCATTCCTTATAATGTGCACCATTATAGGTCTTAGAACATCCCTGAGTTTTAGAAGGTTCCTCCAAGTGTGTGAGCAGGTTTGGGGGGTTTTAAGCTCCCATAGCTCCTATCCCTTATATAGTAAGCATATATCCATTGGATCCATAAGTTTTCCTTGTCATTAAACAATTGCCACTGGTGTCTCAGAAGCAGGGCATTGTTCCATTCCTTCAACCCCTTTATACCCAGTCCACCCTCACTTTTCAACTTGCAAACATCCTTCCATGCAACTTTAGCTCCAGTGTATTTGAGCTCAGAGCCCTTCCAAATGAAAGCCCTTAAATTTTGTTCAAGCTTGTCCAACACTTTATGTGGTAACCTCAGGTGGGTAGCCCAAAAGACATGCATGCTACTAAGCACTGAAATTGCTAGTTGAAGCCTTCTTGTGTAGGATAGAGACTTGTTGATCCACGACTTAACTTTGGGATTGTCAACTTTAGCTCCTTTGTTGATCAAGTTGAATTGAGGCTTCTGACCGGTGGGATTGTCAAAACAAATAATGGTCCAAACCGAAAAATAATGACCCAAACCAAAAAAAAAAAAATCATGTATGAGAAACATAATCCACACTTCTAAAATAGAGAACGACACCAAACTTGTACTAAGTTCTACAAAATCTAGTCAAATAAATCTATGAAACTTATAGGAATAACGAAAAAGTAATACAAAGCAAGACAGAGACGAGGATAGAGTAAAGAGATAATATATATACACACGTGTACCCATATCAAAAATCACATAATAGGAAGACCTATAATCAACGATGAAAAACAGCCGCTATAACCCAATTTCAGCTAATGCATGTCACCTAATGGTTAATCTCTATGCCTACAACAAAAAAAAAAACAAAATATAGCATCGTTTGTCAATTAGAAAATACGAATCCTCAGAGAAAAGATCATAGCCATTTGAAACAAAGACAATCAATATTAGAAAACCAAAAGAAAGTAAGAGTACCAAATAACTTAAAATGATGTAAAGCTTGAATTCAATAAGAGAGCATCTGAACAAAATTCAATCCAAGGTAAACAGAAAACTTACAATACCCAAAAGAAAGAAAGAAAGTGGCACAAATCATAAAATAAAGCCAATTCCTACACCAAAAAAATTCAGATCAAGAAAAACTCATCAACAAATAAAACCACTACAAAAAATAAAGCATATAACTAAAGCTAAGATGAGAAAATTTACCTCAATGAAACAGTCATAGAAACGAAGGGGTAGGGAATAAGAAAAGATCATGCATTCATATTCGTCGAAACAAGAGCTCATTCGCTATACCAAATAGTAACGTGAGTTGTTAGATGGTATTTAGTAAAATTTGGTGACAACTGAGAAAGGAGACATCATAGAGGCAAAAGAAATGAAGCTTGAAAAGTGGCATTTGTACATGTTTTTGAGATCGCCAAATGAATGGTGTATGGGCTAAAGACATGAGAAGAGTTTATTGAATGTATACAATAGAAGCCCAACAACCCACACCCCAATATTCCATTTGTATTAGTCACTACTTAATGTTGGTATTGACAAAAAAAAGAAGATTGTCATTATATATTTTGTTTAAGTTAATTTGGTCATTCGAAATATTTTTAGCATTAATATCATTTAGAAGTAGTAAGATTTATAAGTAGTAAGACAAGATTAATTTAGCTATTCAAAAGTTTTTCAATTTTAGTACCATTCAAAAGTAGTATAGATTCATAACACGTAGTAATTTTAGTAGCTAAATGAGCACTAGTTAAATGTAGTAGTTAGATAGTTTGTTAGGCAGTTAGTTAAGTTCAATTAGTTTCAAGTAAGAAATGTTGAGCTAGTACTCGGCTACACAGGTGTATGATGAGGAATAATTGTTCTATAAATATACTTGTAATTTGTACAAATGAAAGTAAGTGAAATGAATTCCAAAAACATTTTCTGTTCTTGATTCTTTTGTTCCTCTTGTTTTTCATTTCTTCTTGTGAATTCTTGAATCTCTGCATAGATTATGTCATGGCATCAGAGCTTTGAAAAGAGATCAACATCTCAATGGTTGATTCTTCCTTATCCACTCCTCAAACATCTTCAAACTATGCTCCAACAACTTCGATGAGAACTCATTCTCTCCTAGGTTATGTTGATGGATCAATTCGTTGTCCAGAGCAATTTATTCAAAATTCTCAAGGAGTTCCAACTACATATCTGAATCCTTTGCATCAGACTTGGCTTACTCAAGATTAAATTCTTATTACGTTGCTCAATGCAACACTATCTCCGTCTGCTCTTACTCATGTTATTGGCTACACAACTTCTCATGACATTTGGATAACACCATAGAGAAGGTTCTCTTCTCTCATCAGAGCTAACATTCTTCAGCTCAAGTCTAGTCTGCAAATAATCAAAAAAGGATCAGATTCTATATACATCTATGTGCAAAAACTCAAAGAACTTTGTCATAAACTTGCAGCTGCTTCTGTGTGTGTAGTAGATGAAGACATGTTGATCTACACTCTTAATGGCTTATCTACATAATATAATGCCTTCTTTACCTCTATCAGAACTCATGAAAAACCTTTATCTCTTGAAGACCTTCATGTCCTTCTAAGAGTTGAGGAGCACTCTATTGAAGCTATGCACCAAACTACACTAGCTCCCTCAGCGATGGTTGCTACAAAGCAGCAAAACAATAACTTCTCACCAAACAACAATTTCTCATCAAATAGAGGTAGATATTCAGACAATCAAGGAAGAGGCAGAGGACATTAGTCTGGTAATCGTAATGGCGGTCGTAAAAGATCTAACAGTCAAAACTATGGTTTTGAATTTCCACAAAGTGGTTCATCCAGCAATTTCAACAAACACGACACATGCGACTGCAATCAGTCATCTTCCTACATAAATTAGTCTAGACCTATCTGTCAGATCTGCAATAAAGCTGACAGAATCTATGCAGAGACTCAAGAATTCATAAGAAGAAATGAAAAACAAGAGGAACAAAAGTATCATGATCAGAAAATATTTTTGGAATTCATTTCACTTACTTTTATTTGTACAGATTACAAGTATATTTATAAAACTAATATTCCTCATCACACAGTGCGTCGAGGGATTAATTTCCTCCCTGTCCTTGCCCTCTGCGCATTAAATGCCTCTAATTCTCTTGTCGTATGCTCATGAAGAGCATTAATTACATCCTTAAATACCTCTCCCATAATTGGTCCCAATGATTCTACTGGATATGACAACGTACATCATATGAAAATTGAACACAATTCCTTATAAGACATTCCTTCGTTTATTTCAAAGTGGGAATTCCCAATGCAAAGCTAGCTATCTTCTAGTATACCGACTAACATGGCATGTAAAGTCAATTATTTCCTAGCCCCATCGGCCTATTCTCTGTCGATATTCTGACTTTCTCGATCTCAACAATCTCCAATATGAACCAAGAAAATCCCTTGTCGGCATTGATGGTAACGCTGGGGAGACCTTGATGCATTTCTTGTGACAATGCCGAGGTGAGTGTTGCGCAACATGAAATTCCCAAAAGCTTTTCATAGGCACCGTGGGGATCTTAGTGCTAATCACTCCTAACAAAGCTCTAAGTCTGAGCGTATCGTATCATATGAATCATTGTTTTTGTCATTATTGACAGAATGTGGCATGCATTTACTTTTGGCTCATCAAACAAATCACGTCACGTCTACTCCCCCCAACCTTTGGTTTTCACATGGAGGATACAAATGTTGTGCGAATGTGAAAGGTTTCCTTATGAATCGTCGTGCCTTATTCCCGCTTTCACCTTTATAAGAAATCCAACTCTCATTGTTCTCTTTCCTTGCGCATAGTTGTCCTTTCATCGAGCAATCTCGTGCTCAAATTTTTGGCATTCCAAGGTCTTCTCATATGCTCTCAACCATCATCAGTGACCCTATAATTCCTTTTCTCTATCTTTCAATTTGTGGTTTTGTTTCTTTTTTTGGGTTATTACCTCTTCTTCTTCCTTCTGTCAATTTCTCCATTAAAGCCCTAATTGCTAGCACTTGTAGAACTACTGCCCATGGTGTTAATAGATCTCGAGAACCTAGGCTGAGGAAATATCAGGTGAAGGGGATTCAACAGTAACCAACTTCAAAGCTTGTTAAGTAGTTCTCTTCGGCGTTATTGTGGATGAATTCAACCCCTTATCAATAGTGATACGATGGGCTCGGTTAAACTAATGTCTTTCTATACCAAGGCAATCACCAAGGGGGGAATTAGATTCCTTCTTTACCTTATTCTTCCCCATTTCTTTATGCATTTCTAGCTATTCCCAAGCCAATGATGTCTCAATACTTGCAAAATCATCATGGGATTCGTGCCCCTAAATGCTCGGCTCCAAATCAATCTCAGCTTGAATAAGATCCTTTTTTGTTATACCCTCATCAAAGCCCCCTCCAAAAAAGAACTATTTTAAGGCTTGGGACCCTTCCATGTACCTCATCACTCACTTGCCCGACTCTAGTAGAGGGTATCTATAAGACTATGAAATCATGGTAACAAGCCCGAGTAGACTAACATGTGGTGTCCCAAACTATAGAGGGTCACAGGTAATTATGCTTCATTGACAATCATTGTTAAGTTATCCCTTGTGATTTTATTTTTTTTGTGGCTTACTCTTCATTTTTGTGTAGAAATCAGTGAATGCAAAGTCGTGCACCCTCCTCGGTGTGACGTTGACTTTGATGCTATCCTCAAAGGTTGGGGCTTCTCGGGATATAGCTGTCTCGATTTAGTATGGCACGTATTTCTGAGATACACACCCAACTACAAGAAATTTTTCTCAAATCCTAGAAGATTTCGATCCTATGGTTTGGGACATTGATGTCGAGGGAAATCTTGAACAAGATCCACTGAAGAAGAATTTGAGAGGCCTCATGGTGTCTTTGAACATGATTTTGAACCGAACATTTCCAGTCGGGACGTGCGACCTGATTTTCACATACTCCAAACCGTTGACGAGCTGGACGCCTTGTAGGAAGCCATGAAACGTCAACGATGTATCATTTTAGGAGGCCTTGAAGCGTGTTCGGTTGAAGAATGTTCGGGGCCCGGCAGCCCATCCATTGAACAGCCCCTAGGGTACATGTAACATCTCCTTTAGGGACCGCCTCCTCAAGGCCTCAAACTCTGCTTGCACCTACTCCCCTTGAACAAAGGGTCATCTAGACGGTACTGAGTAAGAGATAAGAGTGAAGGGTCATTATGATCCGATAATTAGGGTCACCCCTCCTCGGATCACATCCTCTCGGATCTACCTTCCTCGAGTCACTCCTCCTTAACCCAAGGCCAACTCCAGGATGTTCCTCCATCCCAATAGACTCCTGTTCCCCAAGCAGGTCGGTAATGGCATCCCCGAGCCATTATAAGGAAAGGAAAAGTGGTGTTGGCATATGACTCCACCCTTTCTTGGAAAAGCCTTGCTCTTCGAATTCAACATGGAGCAACACCGAGACCGCTTTGACAACGGCCTGATGTAGAGTGTGATCTAAAATTTGTTAGTGGTGAGTATCTTGGTCCTTACCCAATGTTTTCATTCCTTTCTTGACTAATCATGTTGTTTTAACCATCACAACAAATGTCCATCATTGCCAATCGGCTTTGGGTCTATCGCTTAGCGAGTGATAAGGCCACTAAGGAGTACCAACAACTAAAAAAAATGTTGACTCTTGGGATAAGACCCTTACCACTCAAGCCTAACAGATCGTCGAACTCATCCAAGAGAATGAAAAGAGAATGTCTGAGGTCGAACTTAAGTTATCCACTACTAAAGCTTAGCTCATCAAGGCTGAGACAAACTGTGCTAGTTTGACCAAGCAAGTGGGGCAGTTAAAATCCGATGTTGAGTCGATATTGGAGGCGAAGGAAAAAATCATCTGGGAGTGTGAAGACGATGTGATGGTTGCCTTGGAGGATCTTAAGTTAAATACCTTCAAAAAAGGATGAAACGTTACCCTCACTGGCATGAGGGTTGAGTTGATTTCTCTATACCAACGACAAATATACACTCCTTCTCCTGAGGTGGTAGAGGCGGATGAGTCATCAAAATTCCCACATGATTTTTCCTAGGTTAATCTTTCTACTCCAGTGGCTTTGTCGGTGCCTGAAGCTCCCTCAACCCCCAACATTGACAATCCTTCAATTGACATTCACATTCTCCTCAGAAGGTAACACAACAGCTTCACAACATTGTTCTTTTTCCCGGCCATGGCAGAGCTTTGTTTTGATTTTATTTCCTTAGTTTTGGGTCTTAAGTCCCTTTTTTTGTTTCTGCTAGAGGGACTCAAAGCCCTTCTAACGAAATGTACTTTTCTAGCCATCTTTTTCTCTTTACATTTATATTCTTTTGTCGTGGTTTACTTTCCCAATGGGGATGACCCATGTTGATTAATTGGTCATTTAGGATTTGAGCTATTTCGTCTAACTCTGTCAACGTGTAAGATCTGAATCCACCAACTGTTGTAATCCAATACAGACCTTCCAAATTGGGCCAAACCTTCCCGTCGGTCAGAGCTTGAGTATCGTCAATGCCTTTCTTGAGCATCAGGTCACCCATTTGGAAGTCTCGGGGGTAGACCCTTTTTGTTGTTATGTTGGGCGATTTCTCCCTAAAACTTCTCAAGTCGTATAGTCGCAATCTCGTTCCTTTCCTCGGCTAGGTTGAGATCACTGCTTACCTGTTGGTTGTTCACTCTTAGGTTGAAGGCTTTGAAGGGTAAAATATTGAATTGGGTCCTATCATTAGAGATTATAACTCGGGACACACTGAACCACATTACTATATTTCTCTATACTAACTTCTTGGTGTAAATGTCGTACAACTTCCACCCATTTCGGGAAGTAATTCATGCCTACATGGAGGAATCTTTTGTTGGTCAGCACTCTAAGAAAATGGGTGACTATGTCTAGGCCCCATTGGGTGAGTGGCTAGGGACTTGTCAATGGGTTTAGATTCCCGGATGGTTGCCTGATGATAGACATGTCTTTGGCACTTATTGCACTTCTGAACATACTTTTCTTTATCCTTTTGTATGTGTGGCCATCAATATCCTTGTGATATAGCCTAACGGGCCATTGCTTACTGCCTGTGTGCCCCCCACATACGTCTTCGAGAATTTCAAATTGTCAAGGCTGAATCTTTTCTTTAGGTCCGCAGAGAAATTAAGGTCCCAAGAATGACCTTCGACGGAGTTTCTGATCTGGAGATACCCAAAACCTTGGTACCTAGAGCTAGATCTTATGAGCTTCCTGTTTGTAAATTGGAAGCTCCTCGGTCATTTGTTATCAGATGAAACTATCCATCCAACTAGGAGCAACTTCTTTTGTGCTGACCGAAAGGCTCTCAGCCTCACCAAATATGCTCGGGGTTGGAGATGCTCNTGAGTCATCAAAATTCCCACATGATTTTTCCTAGGTTAATCTTTCTACTCCAGTGGCTTTGTCGGTGCCTGAAGCTCCCTCAACCCCCAACATTGACAATCCTTCAATTGACATTCACATTCTCCTCAGAAGGTAACACAACAGCTTCACAACATTGTTCTTTTTCCCGGCCATGGCAGAGCTTTGTTTTGATTTTATTTCCTTAGTTTTGGGTCTTAAGTCCCTTTTTTTGTTTCTGCTAGAGGGACTCAAAGCCCTTCTAACGAAATGTACTTTTCTAGCCATCTTTTTCTCTTTACATTTATATTCTTTTGTCGTGGTTTACTTTCCCAATGGGGATGACCCATGTTGATTAATTGGTCATTTAGGATTTGAGCTATTTCGTCTAACTCTGTCAACGTGTAAGATCTGAATCCACCAACTGTTGTAATCCAATACAGACCTTCCAAATTGGGCCAAACCTTCCCGTCGGTCAGAGCTTGAGTATCGTCAATGCCTTTCTTGAGCATCAGGTCACCCATTTGGAAGTCTCGGGGGTAGACCCTTTTTGTTGTTATGTTGGGCGATTTCTCCCTAAAACTTCTCAAGTCGTATAGTCGCAATCTCGTTCCTTTCCTCGGCTAGGTTGAGATCACTGCTTACCTGTTGGTTGTTCACTCTTAGGTTGAAGGCTTTGAAGGGTAAAATATTGAATTGGGTCCTATCATTAGAGATTATAACTCGGGACACACTGAACCACATTACTATATTTCTCTATACTAACTTCTTGGTGTAAATGTCGTACAACTTCCACCCATTTCGGGAAGTAATTCATGCCTACATGGAGGAATCTTTTGTTGGTCAGCACTCTAAGAAAATGGGTGACTATGTCTAGGCCCCATTGGGTGAGTGGCTAGGGACTTGTCAATGGGTTTAGATTCCCGGATGGTTGCCTGATGATAGACATGTCTTTGGCACTTATTGCACTTCTGAACATACTTTTCTTTATCCTTTTGTATGTGTGGCCATCAATATCCTTGTGATATAGCCTAACGGGCCATTGCTTACTGCCTGTGTGCCCCCCACATACGTCTTCGAGAATTTCAAATTGTCAAGGCTGAATCTTTTCTTTAGGTCCGCAGAGAAATTAAGGTCCCAAGAATGACCTTCGACGGAGTTTCTGATCTGGAGATACCCAAAACCTTGGTACCTAGAGCTAGATCTTATGAGCTTCCTGTTTGTAAATTGGAAGCTCCTCGGTCATTTGTTATCAGATGAAACTATCCATCCAACTAGGAGCAACTTCTTTTGTGCTGACCGAAAGGCTCTCAGCCTCACCAAATATGCTCGGGGTTGGAGATGCTCCACAATAATCTTCCTCGTAAAATCAATTCTGAGAGCTAAGTTGAGGCATTCAAGAGACTTGGCATAGGAGTTATTTTAGGCTCAAAATTTGAGCCATATTGCTTGCCCCATGATGTCCCCATGTGGAGATTGGTTCTTGAAAATCGTGTGGACCTCTCAGAATGACATCGGGATGGAGATGGCACAATCCCACCTTTTTTACTCTCTCTCTCTCTCTCTCTCTTTCTCTTTGTGAGGCTTTTCTTTCTTCATCAAAGCTAGAGTCTTACCCTTAGGTAACCCCAAATCAATTTCCATCTTTGCATATTTGTCAATACAAACCATCAGTTCGCTCATGGTGGAAGGGGTCCAATCGATCAAAGACTGATACAGATCGGTGTTTTGGGATAGTCCAAGCCTAAAAGAGGCAACAATGGTTATCTCAATACATCCATCAAATTCATTTACTTTCTCCCAATAACAGGCGACATATTGCTTAAGGCTTTCATTGTCCCTCAGTCAAAGGGTGAGTAACATTCTGACATACTTCAGGCGTTTACTACCCATGCTAAATTGGTGGATAAACTGTGTGGTTAATAGTCTCTATGACCTTATACTTTTCGGGGGCAAACTCTTATACCAGTTCATGGTTTTGTTCCCGAGGCTCATTGTGAACACCCGGCACCACAGCTTCGGGTTCATGTCTAAGAACAATATAAGCTATTTATATTATCAGAGGTGAGCGTTTGGGTTGGATCGGCCATCGTACACATTGAAATAGGGCACAACGAATTTGCGAGGCATCTCCACCTCCATTAGACTATGGATGAAGGGAGAATGGATGGGTTCATCATCAATATCAGGCCCTTGTTTCTAGGTGACCTTCTCGAGCTTCTTCGAGTTTAAGTGGGATCTTAAGTCATCACAACCCTTCTAGCATTTTGAGGGATGCATCGTTACGTCTTATGCCAACGTCTTTTACAGAGAGGGTAGAAACCTCTTCAGACCTATCCTTCTCTCTCTGCTAGAGACA